TTTTTTTTTTTTTGCTATTTATCACATTTAGAATTTTACAGTAGAATTTAAAAAAGAAAAGAAGTAACTGTTTCAGTTACTGGAGCGTCGGTTTTGGATATTTCTGAAAATATTATGTTAAAGAATGATTATATAATAGAGATAAAGAGAGCGTCAAAAAACTTGAAGATGAGTGAGAATTGCAACTGTAATTGGCAGTTGTGACAGTTCGTTGCGTCAACTGTAACAATTGTGTCTTTGTCTTTTGAACAACTTTTTTTCTCGTTAATTGAATTTCTGAAGCAAACAACAGTTAAAAAAATAGCGACATCTACAAAAAATATTTTGAACAACAGTTTTACCTTTAGTTCAATCTTATTTTCTCCTGTCATCTCTACAGACCTTTTGCTATTCTTTTTCTCCTACACTCCACTTTATTCCTCCGGTCCCCTTCTTCAGCTAAGAAAGTCTCCTAATTTTTTCACACGTTTGTCATTCGTGACAGTTGTTTATTGTATAGTTGTTTGCTGTTGTTAGAATGCTATTATTTTCGAATCACTTTTGCTGTCTCGAGCTTTTCGCTCTTTTATTTTAGTGTCTACTATTCTTCTCCAATTAATGACCGCTTCGATGACCACACCCTCTTTCTGCTGAATTTTTATCGAAATAATTCTTCTTGCTTCAGTTCATTTCAACCGATTTAAGCCATTTTTTGGTGTCAGTTCATCGTTCAGATGCAATTTGGTCCTTTGCTTGCTCGCTTCTTTGGATCATCTAAGGGTAGTTACGATTACTAAGAGTTGTTTCAAAAAGTTTTTGACGCCAGGAGTCATAATAAAAATAAATCTTTATCTTGAATCATATAATTCTCATTTTACTCACCTAATTGACGTGAAGAGAATTGACAAATACTTGACAATTATTTTTATTCCAGATAAGTTTACATATCAATCTTTTATTATCTGCTTACCAGCTACAGTTTTACTGTAGACATAATGCCACTACCTCCTTGAGCGCGCTATATGTTTCTGATTTTGCTGAATTTTTCTTTTTGAAAGTTAAATTCAGTTTTATTGATGTAGTTTTTGCCTGCTTATCAGCACTAAGGGCAAGGAAGAACCTAGTGTGGTTCAGCTTACTATCCTTGGAAAGAGTTGTTAAGCGTCATAGAGATAGTCACTGCGATTGACTTTAGACAGCGTTTTTGAAACAGAAGGAGTTATTGTGCTACTCGAGTGGAGTCTTAGAATACAACCTGTCTATGAAAGAAAGAAATTTTAAAGCTAACATTTGCTGCTTTCAGAAAACACCCTTCAGATGCGACCACTTATTGGTTTAATAATCTTCGTGTTCGCCCTATGTTCTGGTAATTTTCTTCGCTCTGTTGCATTTGCTTCTGATTCATTATATTGCTTTTTTTGGGGTTTGAAGAGTTTAAAAAACCTTTCCGTAGGCAATACTTCGTCTTTCTGACTGTTTGCCTTCAATTTAAATTATTTTCTATTATTTTCAAAAGGTTCGTTTCTGCCATATCCTATCATAGTGTTTTTTTTGTGTCTTTTTTTTTTTGTCGTTATCTCTGTACGTTGGATAAAGTAAAAGCTTATAGACTTTCAGTTTTGTGATGGGCTGGTGTCACTGCTTTTTGAATCCAGAAAAGCTTACAGTCTGTTTACCGTTATAATTGACGAGTAACTTAAATTAAATCAGAATTAAGAACTTTTATACAGCATACATTTTCTACTAAGGAATGAAGCAATTCACTGACTAAAAATTTGTATGAGTCGCTTGATGGTTTACAGGAAGTCGGACCAACCAGGTCAGTCGGGCTATAGAGTCTACAAAACGACGGCAAACTCCAGTGGTACAACAGATACGGTCGACACAGCAACAGAGACTAGGTCGAAGTGAATACCTCGATGTCGACAAACTAAATAAACTGATTCGAACAATTGATAAAACCTGGATATTGCCCCGTCCTGGATCTAAAGAACCTGTTGGTTCGAACTTCCAAGTATTATTTTGTATCCTTCTTCCTTTCCTTTTTCGCGTCTTTAAAACATATGAAATGTCAAACAAGTCATTTCCTTCTCAGCAGAATTTTTTTCAATATCAATAAAGTTCTTGAAAAATGCATATAAGTGAGCCAAACTAAATTAAACTTGAAAAACTTTTTTATTTTGAGGAATGTTTCAATTAATTAAAGTCACTATAACAGCTTTGGTAAAATCAAAAACTTTAAAAAATTTAAAAAGTGTTCATCGCCTGTCGTAAACTACAAACTAAGTACTAAACAGTAATTACAACTACGTTTGAGCATTTATCTTTAAAAATACTGAAAAGAACGACTAATAATTTTTTTTTTGCTGGTTTAACTTTTTAATAAGCTGTTTTTCTAGTACAAAAAGACATGCGCAAGTATTTACAAGGTACGGCACGGGGCTTGTCAACAGATTGGATTTGGTGTCATGTGTTTCAATTACTGTCATGAGCAGGGTTAGTTAAATTACTTTTGCAAGTTTTATCAAAGAATTACCAAAATAAACTGGTAGGAGTTAAACTTCAGTATATTTATCAATGGCTTCCTCTTGTTTCTTATCGGAAGCATCTTTTGATTAAAAAATTTGTGGAAAATGTGCATGTGACTTGAATTGATAATCTTTATGTGATCAAGTATTCCTAAATATTTTTCTTCACTCACTTCAAAATGCAAAAGGTTTCTAGAGTAATAAGTGCACATTTAATAGTGTATTTTTAATCTCCGAATACCAGTGTTGATTTTGAGTAGGTAGATTTTGTTTAGAAAAAAAGCTTTCAAAGCATCGATAATATGAAAAAATGCCATACCTTTTACATTGCTTTATTTCTTTTTCGCTTCTTAATACTTATTTGTTTAATGAGTATCAAAAACAAACACGAAGCTGGCGTTGTTAAATCAAAAAAAAAAATATTGTATGAGTTAGCAGATAAAACACATCCGTGAGAAAATGATCTTGAAAACTCTCTCTGCAACCTGTTTTGTCAAAAGCAAGATTAAAATCAAAGCTAAAAAAAGAATATCCTTCACCTTTATAAAAATTTTTTCAAAGTGAAGCGTTCTGTGAACGGCAGCGTTCATTTAGAGTAAACAAACAAACCCTATTGAGACAGCAACTGCTAAAGGTCGCTGGCTGATGATTTCTTGCAAGGCAAGAATTTCGTTGTTTTCTTTTTCAAAATTTGTTTATTTAAACGGTGTTCTAAAGATCTTCTAAAAAAAAGAATGTAAAATAAAAGAATTTTTCTTTTATTTTATTGACTGCTTGATGGTCAGCGACAATCTGGAAGTATTTCATAGTTTCAGTGAAGCACTTGATAATTTTATTTTAATATTTTTCCGTCTGACTGACAAAATTTGCAAGAAGGAGGAAAACGGCACGAAGAGGAAAGGAATGACGACGAGTGGAAGTGAGTTAGGAGAAAAAGAAGGGAATGAGAAAGGAGAGGAAAAGTAGCGTTTTCAACGGGTTTTTTTTGAAAACTTTTGTTTCGCCGGCTTCAATATTTACTTGTAGCTATTGCTACTGACTTCACTACTGCTCGTATTTTTGTTTCTTGATTTGTCAATTTTTCAGAATTTTTCTCTTCTCTTCTTTTACTACAGAACACTTTCCTTTGAGGACAGTCGCCAGATAATTTAAGTGGAAAAAGTATTTTCGGATATCAAGTATACAGTGGCAATTTTACTTAGCAAAAACATCTCAATTTTTGTTAAGTAAAGCAACATTCAACCTAAATCGTGTATAGAAAAGGCTTTTATTGCGCGAAACTCAAAGTATTGGATGATGTTCACAAATGTTCAGGCATTCTAGTGAATGAGAATGGGTATGATTGAGTAAAGGTAAGAGTAGGCGTTGTTTCTAATAATACCAGGTTGACGGGCTGAATCTTGTGGTCCAAATCGGTTTAAGATCCGTATTTTCCCATTGTTTACTTCTTAAAACTATTTTAGACTTTTCCACTATTTAGTTTTTGTTGAACAGACCTAATTTTTACGACTAATATGGGTATCTTTGATAAAAATAATTACTGAATAGCGCTGAACGTTTTGTCGACGAGGGATTCGTATGTTCAGGCTATTTTCTGTTTACTGCCACAATTTGAGAAGTCAATAAAAAACAAGAACAAGATAAAACAAAGAAACAGTACTTCTTTAAGAAAACAAGTGATTACGGTTAGTAAAAATCTAAATGAAATACTCGGCTTTCCTCTCAGACTGACGCACGTTCCCGTCCTCTGTGCACTTAAGAAAACTCAGAGTTTGCTCAATCTTAATTATCTTTTTGAATAGAACTGTCGCTGCAAATGCTAGCCCAGGACACTTCAGAAGAACTTCAGAATGTTCGTAAACTCTATCACCACTAAAAATCAAATGATGATATCATCTCAACAGAAAAAATTTGTTCTTTCTAATTTAGACAATAACTTCAGAACGTCTAATAGCGTATTCCTTTTCTTTAGAAATAAAAGTTTTTCACTTGTGCTTTTATGTCCCCGAGCTCAAAACCGTGTGAGAAAATAGACAGAATTATTGCTTTTCACCAACAAAAATTTTTAAAAGTTACTGCAGTGGATTGATTAATCTGTTGCTTAAAATTTTATTGAGTCAGCCGAAAGCGATCCTCTAAAATAAGTAATTAATATAATATAAAAATCAGTCTTTTAACAAATTAAAAAACTAACTCTCATGATTATTGCACATGCTGATTAATCAACAAGTCGGCTCTCTTTCAGGTCAAAAGCTTGCATTTCGTTGTCAAGACACTTCTGACGCGTCTTACTGCAGAAACGGAGGAACGTTTGACACTTCTCTGGCCAAATACAGAAAGGATTCATATAAGGCGAAAGCCTTTATTCATCAGGTTGAAAACAGTAAATTGAGCGTGCTTTCAGATTTTTCTTCTTCGCTATCGTTTATGTACTTTATCTCACCGCGAAACTGCTCATCCGCATAAAATATTAGACAGTTTGTCAATTTATTTTCCACCGTGCAGTTATATAATGAATGATGTTGAAGATGATATCTCGGTGTTACGCAACTGCAATCTGTAATCTACAAACTGGACTGTTGAATTCGACGCTTGTCGAGGAAGGACACGAGCCCGCTCCAATTGGTCCTAGCGTCTCGAATAAGGCAACCAATTTAAAGTCAAGTACATCAGCCCTAAAGCACAGTACCCCACTGAAGTCGAAACCACGAGTCTTGCCTCAAACGAAAGTTTCTACAGAGGTAAAGCATTTTGTTTAGTCAAAAAACTTAGAGAATATACCTGCAGTTATTAGGAATGAAACCAATACAGTTTAAGGCGGGAAGAGCTACAACGAAGCCATCAAAAACAAATATCTGGGATCGATTTACAGTGAATCAAAAAGCGAAGCCAACAGCAAAGTATATACCGTTTTGGCAAAAACTGCTAGTGACTTCAACTACTACACCTACAACAACTACCACTCACGAAGTAGTGACTGATGTACCAGAAGAAAAAGTGGAAGATATAGAAGAGGAAGAAGAGGTGGAAGAAGGTGAAGAAGAGACGGAAACGACTACGGAATCATTCACAGACGATTTGGATGAAAAAAGCAAAACTGAAGCAGCCAATGAAACTGGGTGTGTTTGACAAATTCTGGTTTCTACCGCTGAGCATCTGCCAATTAATAATCAGAAGAAGTTTGACCTTTTCAGGTTCCCATCAGCACTGGCAAAGAAATCTAACGTTGGTAGGCCAAGATTGACAAAACCTACTTGGAAACCACTTGAAACAACAGAATCACCAGCGTCATTAATAGTTTTAGACAAAAAAAACATGCAAAAACCGAAAAACGAAAAAGGGCCCGGATTTTGGAACAGATTTCAACCCGGAAAATGGTTCCAAAGCATCCACTACGTCACTAATACGGGTCGTTAATTCTCATCCGGAAATCACGAAAAATATACATATATATAACGTTTTAAACGGAAATTGAGAAATTTTAAGAATTTCATGGTTATTATCAATTAGCTATTTTAAAAAATGTACTGGCAAACTGAAACCTTGATATCTTAAAAGATTGGATTTAGTCCGCAAGGTTCCTTATACTTAATTTCCAAGTGAAATGGATATCACCTGTATTGCTGATCCAGCTTGATCCAGGAGGTTATATATATATATATATATATATATATATATATATA